AAAAAAATCCAGGAAATTAAACAGATTACTTCATTTAAAGCATGTGAAGAATGGTTGAAAAGAAGGACTAGTGGGAACATGATAGCAGTCTTCCAATATCTCAGGGGTTGCCACAAAGAGAGGGTTCACTTATTTTCCAGAGCACCAGAAGGCAAAACAAAAAACAATGGATGGAAACCAATCAAGGAGAGAAGCAACCTCGTATTAAGGAGAAACTTCCTAAATGTGAGAACAATTAACCAGAGGAACAGCTTTGCCTTCAGAAGTTGTAGGTGCTTCATCTCTGGAGGTTTTAAAGAATAGACTGGACAGTCCTTCTAGCTATATTCTGAATCTGAACTGTTGGGGTTTTATTACCAATATTTTTCATGACATTAGCGGTACTATTCATTATGAAAATTGCCATTACACTTATGGACCAGCTCATAACCAGTATCGCATTAAATCTTAATGAGATATTGTTATCTTTTTTAACAGTGAACTTGGGGGCTGATTGGAAAGCAATGAAAGGGACGCCTGTATATTCATTGAAAGTACCTGGTATGATTTCAGAGTCCCCGTCCACCTGCAGTCAAAATTTGGGCAGCCGATCTGTGTGTCGAGGGCGTCGTTCTCTGCTGCTTTGTCAGAGTGGAACTGAAAAGTGAAAGATTCAGGGAGTCAGATGACAATGATAAGAGTTGATCTCTGGTAACATTAACCCCATACCGTCCCTTCTAACAATCAACTTCCACCAGTAGGATGATCTCTACCACTAGGTGACCTGAGATAGTAATGCCAGACAGTAGATCCTGAGAGTTAGTGGCAAGATGTCCCAAAGGCACCTTTCTTGTTTTTCGTTGAAGACGTTTCGCTCCTTATCCAAGAAGCTTCTTCATCCAGTCAGAACTGAAGAAGCTTCCTGGACGAGAAGCGAAACGTCTTCAAAGAAAAACAAGGAAGTTCAGTTGCTTCCTGAAAAAAAAACACCACATTTAAGGACCTAGATCTGAGAATATCCACAGATGTTTAGTGGGAAGATTTTACGGGAAAGGGTGAAGGTCATATAGATGACTTGAACTCTAAACTCTGTGAATCAATCATGTGACTTCTTCTGGCTTAGCAATGGAGGTGCACCCATGCTTTGTGGAACACATTTTTGAGAACATCAGGAGACACGGAGACAGACACCCTCTAGAACAAGCCACCAGCCCATCTAGTTCCACTACGTTTTCTGACTTTAACACGGCTAAACTAATTTCCAAGGGAGAAAGAATTCTCTAGAACAGGGGATCTCCCACCTTGACAACTTTTTAAGGTTGTTCAGGTGTGAGGACAATTATGTTGAAACTCACCTCTTTGAGATGCAAGATCTCCTTACACGTAAGGCAGGAGACTATTCTCTCTGAGTCCCTGAGGAAGAAAAGAAAGGAAAAGGTGAACTGAGGGAAAAATCTTAACAACAGAACTGGGGACAGTTGTGAAAGGATCCTTGTCACACACAAAACCCTTCCAACCACCCACTGCTTCCATCCTTCAACACGTCATTCCACTTATCCTTTTGCTCTTCCTTGATACTTAGGCCAGAGGTCAGCAAACTGCAGCTCTGGAGCCACATGTGGTTCTTTCCTCCCTCTGCTGTGGCTCCAGCACCAGTCAGCGCCACAATTTTGAGAGGAGCGTCTGGTGTGAGGGGGGGGGGGAGAGAAGCACAGTGCGCCAGGAGAAGACTCTATGGAAAGGGGAGGGTTTTCCAGTTGTCTCCACAATTGAT